TCAAATGACAAGCTAGTATTGGGCAAAAAACATTTATCATCCAGTTAGAACCAGACATCAAAACACACCTTTCCCTAGTTGGTTTCAGTGGTCGATATTCATCCAAACCATTCAAAATACCATTTTCATTCATTTGAGGCAAAACCAAAGGCGATTTGCCTAGTCTGAATCAGATTTAAGGAAAATGGTGGATCATGAATAAATACATTCTGCAAAATGCCCAGACCTTGATTTTAGTTTTAAGCAATTAGAAGATATATCCTTTAGATCAATGAAATTTACAACTTATCAAAAGTTTACGTCATTAAATGAGATTTTTATTCAATTACTCAGCTGTTAAGAAAATTACAACAGCATCAGCAGCAACCCATATGGACGCTACTGCTTGCTGATAATTTTCAGAACTCTAGTATATATGGGACAATATAACTCACTGATGCAATATAGAGAAATATAATAAATGTCCCTCCAGGATCATGAATAGATAATATTCTGCAAAATGCTCAGACCTTTCTCCTCTACCATTATCCCCTTCCCAAGTGTCCTTCCTCATGTCCTAGCCCCTCAATGACAACGGCCCGCCTCAAGCCCACCACCACCCACCAAAAAAACCTGCATTGATACTGTTGATGGTCTTCCTGCCTCCATTCACCCTCGATGATGACGATCTTCCTCCACTGTCACACAGTGGTAATCTCCACTTCTAAATATCTGATTAAATTTTCTGTAATTCGGTCAGCTTTTCTGGAACTTCTCATCAGCAATCCTTTATTTCTAAATGTCTTATGATTTATAATCGTGCTTTTCTAGCCCTCTTTCTTTTTCTTTGGACGCGCTTTGTAGTATTTTCACCATTCTTACTATGATCTCTTTTTGCAAATTGTTCATTTTCTACATTCTCCTTTATTTATCAGAATTTTATACAAATGTTGTTGCTCTCTCTCTCTCTCTCTTCTTTTTGCTAGATTTTTATTTCTTCTCCTGCTATACGTGTTTTGTTGTAAGTTCTTTTAGTTGGACGATTGAATTGTTAGTGTGTAGGATTTGTGATGATCAAAGTGAGATGCCCATGGAATTATTAGAAGAAATAGATGCAGCACTTTGCAATTAAAATATCAACTTGTGGCACATGGTATTCATAGAGCTAATTGTGATCTGCTTGTGAGGAAAATGTGGAATGCATAACTGCAGGAGAAGTGCAATCCGGTCATTAGCCTGGTATAAAAAAAATGGAAAGTAGTCCAGCTAATAATACTGTCACTGTAACCAAATTACGGTTAGTAAGTGCTGTTTGGCGCACCAAACGACCCTTTATAAATTAATCCTTTTACTTTCAAGCCCAAAATTTGGAAGACCCAATTTGAGAATGAAGAGAGTAATTTTGAATGGCATAATAAGTTCAGTTAATACCCTTTATCAAAAAATAAGTTAAGTTAATACAATATACTTAAGATAATTGTTACAACGAACGAAAGTGGGAAAGTTTAATAAGAGGATATAACAATAAGGCTAATATATAGTTACTTCAAATAAGTTAAGAGAGCAAGTTGTTGCCATTTATTTGAAGGGTCAAGACAATTAGGACAAAACTATCCCAAAAAGTCAGTCAATTAATTTGGATGCAGAGTAAAATAAAGAAGCAAACTATATAATTATGCTGCATACCCTTCGATCTTCAAGATCTGCAACATCATCATCAACTTCATCCTCACTGTCTCGATCTGATAAAACCTGCTCCAGTGCCATGGGCTTCACCCCAATAAAAAATTTCATTAGCAAATATATGGTTTAAAGGACTCCTCATTACTTCCCAGATTTCTATAGACATATATTGGCTATCAGTTCTTGGAAAGATTTTAAGATTCATTACAAGTAGACAAACATTTCAAAATTTATTCAATTTTGTGTCACATTCAGCTAGATAATTCACCTCCAGACCCCAAGAACTGGGGCTATTTCAAATGGAAATCAAAATACAACAGCGGAAGCCAATATCGAACTGTCATTATTTTAGATCTTAAATTTGTTCAGGTGAAATTATATATATATCCAACGAATGATACCCAAACAAGTGAATTTTGCCGCATCTCTGATTCAACGAAAAACATGAAAAGTAAACAGGGATAGATTTTTTATAACTTAACATTGTAGGAAGCTTCCAACAATAAACCCAACATGTCAGTATATCACTACAAACTCTAGCAGTACTTAGGCAGTGACAAAGCCTTCAGTGGTGGGGCTTTTTGATAAGATTGAAACCTAGAGACCGAAGTCTTGATCGTTGAATAATATAGGTTGCTGAATTTTATCTCTCTCCATCGACTGATATGCAGCTAATCTAAAAAGTAAACGACTTGTTAATGTCTACTGTGCTTCTAATTTATTTGAGATTTCTTTTTTTACTTATAATAGGTTTACTTCTGAAAATTCTTAAAATCAGTTGATATAATTGTCAAAGAAATATTATGAACTAAATATCTGAACTACTTGGTTTTAAACATTATCTTTATTTGAGATATGTGACATAATGATTTGCTATTCTTCAAATACAGTAACAACTAACAAGCCAGGTTGCCTTAGATTAAATTTAGTAAAGTATTTACATTGGTACCATTAAGATTTTTCTGATCCCGTAATCAAAGATTTTAAATATCGAATTACTTAGCACAGTGAGTTCCAAGTGCTGATTTAATATTTCATAAGCGTTCACACTAAATACATTAGAAGACAAAATTAGTAGTTTTCCACAGGAATAAGGAGCCAGCTGGTAGCTTCGGATCTTTTGTCACCCATGTAAATCCTTCAGTTCCCTCCAAAACACGATAGGAAAAGAGAACTCAAAACTACAATGTTCCCCATAGATTTCACAAACAGTCAAAACAGCACAAATATTGCTCCGATTCGTCAAATATATAATCCAAAAAACATATCTTCTGATATTATTTTATTTATATAAAATTAAAAAAAATAGCTTCCGATACTGTTTGAAATATTTAAATGCAGTTTTCAAAATATTTCAGGATCACCAAGGCTTCCTGAAATTATGTATCCCCTAAGTTCAACTCTTGTCATTTTTTTTCAAATGCTTCACATCCCAACGTGACAAAAACAATGTAAAAGGCTAGAGTCAATTTTGGATGAAGTAACCTTCTTATAAAGAGAAAAGTATAGATTAGAAGATCTAGCTTGTATAAAATGTTATTGGTTTGATACCAATAATGGTAATCGTTTCAGTATCTTAAAGATACATATATATATCCCCGATTGAAATTTATTGATAGTACAACATACCCTGTCTCGGTGGGCATGGCTCTCGTGAATGACAAGATGCGGGAAGCGCGGCTTAGATGGTTCGGGCACATGCGGAGGAGAAGCCTAGATGCAACGGTTAGGAGGTGTGAGCAGTTGACTTTGGCAGGTACGAGAAGAGGCAGAGGGCGGCCTAAGAAGTATTAGGGTGAGGTGATCAGGCAGGACATGGCGCGGCTTTTGATTTCCGAGGACATGGCTCTTGATAGGAACATGTGGAGGTCGAGCATTAGGGTGGTAGGCTAGGGGGTAGTCAAGAGTTCTTCCCTCTTTGTACCGGGTAGTCTGATAGAGTTTTGTTTAGGTTTGTTAGCGGTCTATGTTGTGTTCACATTGTTGTTTTGCATAGTTTTTGTTAATGTCCTTTCACTTATTCGTTGTTGTTATTTTTTTCTGGAATCTTTTGTTGTTACATGCCTTTTTTTTTGTTGTTGTTATTTTTTATTGTCTCTCCTGTTGAGCCGAGAGTCTCCCGAAACAGCCTCTTTACCCTTCTCGGAGTAGGGGTAAGGTTTGCGTACACTCCACTCTCCCCAGACCCCACTAGTGGAAATTTACTAGGTATGTTGTTGTTATATACAACATACCCTGTCTCGTATAGAGTATCACAAATCCATTTGACCAACTTGGAAACTTACAGGAACTATGTTTTCCTTTTTTGTCCTTCCAAATTCACCATGTGTAATACAAGTTGTACTTCAACTAATTAAGCTGCAGAAATTTTTTCTTCAATTAGGATACAATTAACTAAACAAGCTGCAGAATGTCTGGCTTCCGAGTTACAACTATATGCATGAATCATTCTGTACAGAAGTGATAGGTCAGTACGTTTTTAATGCAAAGAACAAAATAGTTCTCAAGGAATAGGTTCCTTTTTTCAGTCAAGTAAATGTGATAAATAACGAAGCACTCAAGGAGCATGCAACCCATAAACAAAATATGTATGCAATTTCTCAAGGAAAAATACAAGATGGCTACACATTCACCACTTTTTGATTCATTTTTTTGACAGATATTAATGTAGTATGCTACTTCATTTTTCAAATATCACGGATGACACATGATCAAATAGTTCTAACATTAGAAACAAATAATCATTCAAAACTTGACTGTAGCGAATCAGAAAATTATCCCATGTTTCCTTCCGGATAAATGAACACCATCCCGTGTTGTCATATCCACCGCACTCACAAGTTGGTTAACGACTTTGAGATGCCAATTGATCCTCTCATATACCAAGTATAAATTGGTCATCATCTATATTTTTTAAGAAGGCCATTATATATAGTTGCAAAGAGGTAATCCATCATTGACTGATAGGATACTCTGCTTCAGCCTTGGGTCAATTATACAACCTATCAAGCAAGTTGACTTGACCAAAAGCAGACATATTGGCACACTGACTGTGAATTTTTAAGTGCAACGTCCACTCTGTAAGACTCTAAGACTACTGTATACATTGAGAAAATACAAAATAATCCTGATTGTTAAGCATTTCACATTCTAGTCCATCATCAGTAGGAATAGCAGTTGCTTTATGAAGAAGCAAAAACAAATTCCAAGATCCCAGAGCACAAGGTAAGAAATTGATTACCTGGGCTCTATGAGAATGAAAGAATTGCCTTTTTTGCAGGAGTGCACGACTGTAAAAGAAAAAACAACATTGTATTAAAAGCCAGACAATCTTATCTACGAACTATAAAGGTAAACCATAATACAGAAAATTTGTGTAGTCAATTTTCTCCCAACTAGTATCACATCAAAGACATTAAGCAAAATCAAGAAACACAGAAATACAGATAATACAGAAAAGCATCACTGGACAGTCTCAATACAATCAATTTTTAGCATTCTTAACCAAGACAGGAACCAGTCCTAACGCTGTAGCATATAAGCTAAAATACGATTTAACAGCAGACAGAGAGAGAGAGGGAAAGGGTTCGACGTATCCATCAAAAGGGAAGTAAACCGCAGTCAACGAGAAACTCAAAACACAAGTGTACCATCAAACTACAGAATGGATAGTCGAGAACCAGTCCGTCTTGCCAATACTAAAATCGAGATCATGGTCTAGGTTTCTGATAAAGTTAAGATTGAGGCTATCTAAAAGACAGAACAGAAAACCACCATTACTAGGCACTAGACCTAAGGCAAAGACCATATTTGAAGATGGTGGCACCCTTGAATTTTTTGAAACACTAGAGGGCTAGTATATCCTTCATAGATACAACTTCACAACTGCCGTAGGTCCAAGTTGGATACAGCGACCCTATCGGTCACTAAACTCGAGGCCAAGACAGAATTTGAAGGTATGGGGCACCATCGAATTATTGAGAAAAAACTAAAGGGGGAGGAAGTATGTCTTTCACAATAATTTCCAAAAATTCTCAAAATTATAGACATCAAAACCTCAAATTTACAAAACATGGGAGCATGTTACACCCCACCTCCAAAAAACAAGCACCATAACTGCAGTAGGCTCAATGGGGTACAGTCATAAAAGGGAAATAATAGCTCCAAATTAGACAGCCAATAATATAATCCACAGTGAAGTTCAAGCGATTAATGCCAACTGCAGCAAACAAAATCTGCTAATTGATGATTTATTGGACCCGGTACTGAAGATCTGCAGTGAAATCTTTTCCACCCAAAATAATTTGGTTAAAAAAAAATGCTACTCGACACTGCCGTCGAACATACTTTCTGGGATCAGAGCGCTCAACTGATAACTTTCTTGACTTGGCAAACTGAAGCAGTGCTGGGGGTGCAAGAGTGCTTCCTGGTACTGATTGCACAGAGTCAGGATCTGGATACAAGTGACCAGTTGCAGAAGAAACGCCTGCACCATTGGGACTTGATGGATCACACTCTACAGCCTCAGCAACACCTGATATACATTCAACAAAAGTGTCCACAAATGAGCAGAATGGCAGCAGTTATTTCATGAAATTCTTCTCCAATAATCATGCAAAGTGCTAGAGGAATAAGCCTCATTTTACAACTTGCTACAAGTTGTATGAAAAGAAAAGAACACTACCCCCTTACCTCCCTCCTCTCAAATAACACAAATAACAGAAAGTCAATACTGCTGGAACAATAGTTAAACAGAAGTTAATGGCATTCAACAGTTGGGCTGGCAGAAAGACACCAATATTTCAGATTATACCGTTAGATTATGCCACTTCGTAACTTGGTAAATTTTCTCCTCTTCCATCAAGCAATTATGTAATTAACTTTGCAAACCAAGAATCTGAGTTAGCAAATGAGTGGACATTAGGACTAAAATTGACTTGGCAGATATTCAAACCTATGCATTTTGGATTGTGAATTGTGGTTTGAGTCCAGAGTTACTTAGGAATATTTCAAGGGGAAATTGAACAGAACTCAAGTTGTAACGGCCCATGGACCGCTCGCGTTGAACTCAAAAGGGGTTTGCTGTGAAATTTGTCTTAGGCAAACCTCACATCGCCTCATCAAAATGGGAGGGAAAGTTAGGGGCCACGTGAGGGTGAGTTCAAGATTCAACTGTAGAGACGCCTTTTGGGTTAAAGCCCAAAGGGGACAAAACCGTGAGGCCCAAAAGCTTTTGCGATGGCCCAGATGGATCGGGCCAAAGTGGACAATACGTTGTCAGCAGGCCTGGGCCGTTACACATATCATGCATCTGGGACATGCTCGAGCAGTTGGGCCATGCGTCTCATGATACGCCCCACCTATGCCGCAAGATGATTGGCATTCACCTTGCACTGGGGCACGCAACAGTTCCACCGGTTAAACATTGGAACAAATAACTCACATATACATAAATGCAAAAGCAAAAAACCCTCTTCTATATAAGCGCGTTTAGGTACATAAAAGATCATCACTCCCTCGGCAAGTACCATAAGAGAGAAGGAGGCGGTTGATGTAGCTTAAACCTATCCACTACTCCCTTGTAACCCTCCCACCCTAATAACAAGGAGAGAGACTGGGTGTATATGGTCAAAACATTCAATGGTTGATTTTTTTTCCATTTTGCTTTCACCTTCCTACTTTCTTCCCATTACCGAATACTTTTGTTTTCTTTCAACTACTGTTACGCTGATCAGAATTTAATTTTTAATATTACAAATGCACACAAGCATGTGTGCACTTGGTTGAATTTATATAATCATTATTCCACCACGATATTTTTTCATTGATAACTGAGAAATACACGAGGTATGGGTGGCTAATAGGCCGAGTCAAGTCAGCTACGCACACCACTGGCACACAAAAGAACCGGACCAACCCTCCCCCCCCCCCCCCCCACATATAGGAAAGGGGGCTAGAGTGCTCTGGTGTAGGTTAGGGGGCTAGAGTGGGCTGGTATACTTTGGCTCAGAACCAGGACCAGCCCACATATAGAAAAATTGGTCACCCCCACACACTAACTCACCAATTTTGTTTCCTTGGTCAAAAATCTGTTCGTTGGAAACGGAGAACTTTCAACGTTGGTCATTGCTTAAGGCCTAAACGGCTAAATCAGCACCTCAACCCCCAAAACATCCCCATCCCTCCCAAAAAATTATATTTTTAACCCCCTATTAAGAAAGTAACACTTTGGCCCTATTGTTAAACAAGATAATAAACCAAACTCTTCTTAACATTTTGAAACGGTAGAAGGATAACTTAAAACAATTTCCTGTTCTTTCGAAAATGGCCCGGGATGTGCTTTTAGTTTCAACCATGGCGTCAGAAAGTGCTTTTAGCCAAACAAGTATGTAGTTTGGAGACAACAAACACTCATTGGTTAGGCCAGCATTGAAAACACTAGTCTGTTTAAGAGATTGGGTTAGAGCGAAAAAATCCAAAAAAATCAAGCATAGAAGAAAAGCAACCGGAGTAAGGGTGCTTATCGGGCGGTTCGATTGGATATATGCGCTAAACGGTTCGGCTTAGCGGTTATCGATTTTCAAATGTATTAAACCGCTAACCGAACACATAAGATATTGGTTGGTTAAGTTTGATTTAGCAGTTATCGGTAATGTAACACAAGATATATATTACATCGACCAAAAATTCAAAAATGAGAAACAATTGGAATGTCATTTTGGATTGAATGATATTCCAAATCGCATTCAAGGTTTAAATTAATTAGCTTTAGATTCTGATTTAGAGTATCCAAGATTTAAAAAACAAATTGAAGAAGAAAAACTAAGAACCTGGCCCTGCTTGGCTAATGGCATTGATAGTGAATCTTCCCTTCCCTTGTTTTAGAATTACAAAAAGTAAGATGTACTCAAGGCAAGTCGAGCTCAATGGAACAAAAGAAGAGGGGATTTTTCTTAACTTGTCACCTTGGTTAATCGTGGACAAAGAAACATATCTGATACTGGAAGCTGGAATGGAGATTGGAGAACATCGGTGGACAGTGGGCTGGAGGCCGGAGGCTGGAGGCTTGGAGAAGTGGAACTGAGCGAAGGGCTTTAAGGTTTTTAAAAATACTTTATATACATGGGGGTAGAAATATAAATCTAATAATTCTTAATGGGTTGACAGCTAAACCAATAAGGAAAACAAGCAAACCGCTACTATAAACCGTTAACTAGAAAATTCGAAACCGTTTCCCAACCGTTTAGCCGATAATCCGATACCAATAAATCGATTTACGGTTCGGTTTTGGACAGCCCTAGACCAGAAGATGAAGCACATGAAAACGTCATGACGATGTCATCTTACCAAAGTGGCAAGAAGCGACAATCAAGATAGTCCGATACCAACTAATCCTCCTCGAATTGATATTGAGGAGATGACTAATTCTTTTAGAAACTTTTGATATTCTTTGTTCATCTATTGTATTTTGAAGTTCCTCTTTATTTCTTTTACTTCAATAGAAACTCTTGAGTCTTGTTGTAATTTGCAAGTTTAATGATCAAAAATCAAAACACAAATTTGCAATTTGTATACTTAAAAAATCTAAGGCTAATTTAGCTTCTGAGGTTTTTTTTTTTCAAATTTGTATCCAAATACAAAATAATACTTTAACTTCAATTTAGTAGTTTCTCATTTTTTTACTTCATCATACTTTAAAGTTTAATTGGAAACTCTTGTGGTAGAATGTAAGTTAGTAAGTAATTTGCAAGTTTAGTTTAAACAATAAAGTTAGTTTGCAATTTGTAAGTTTAAACTTAATAAAATTAAAACTTTGAGCCTTTGAGGAAATGTATCCAAATACCGAAACTCCAAATCCAGTTCTTTAATTCACTCTTTACCTTTTGTATTTAAATTAAAAGGTTGTAAAAAAAAATCCCAACACACATTAACCCGGCCCAGTTAACCCAGACCCCCAACCCACATCCTTAAGAGGCCGTGAATGGAGTGTGCTCAACTTTTGGCCCAAAGAGCTAGCCCACAACCCGGCACACAAAGGGAAGACCAACGCGACTCGGCACACTGGCTCAATGTGCCTTCGCTTAATGTGTTGGGTTGGGCCTGGCCTAGCCCACATGCCAACCATGCCCTAAGGGCCAGTAGCACACAAATTCCATCAAGGTAATTTGCTAAGTCTTCAATGAGTGACGAGTGTATAAAGGGAAATATAGGCAAGACAATTTTAATTTTTTATGGCAAAGTATGCAAGGAAAGATCATCTAGGAAGTTCCTTATGTACAAGAAGTCAAGAACCAAACAAATTTGCGCTTTCAGACAACAACTATGCACCTTTCAACAACAACAACAACAAACCCAGTATAATCCCAGACAGAGGGGCCTGGGGAGGGTAGTATATACGCAGTCTTACCCCCACCTTGTTGAGATAGAGAGGCAGTTTCTAATAGATCAACTATGCACCTTTAACGTACAAAAAAGATGTTGGTGATACTTTGATAAGTAATATTCATTTACATGTATCCATTAAGTAACCATGATCTAGCACATTTACAAAGGAACACAGAATTAACAACAAATTGAATAATCCAACGAATACAATGGGTCATCATTACCATTAATCTTGTCATTGAGCCCATTTGTTGATGTAGGGAAATCTGAATCTAAAACAAGTGGGTGCACATACTTTGAATTTTGAAATAAATCTTGTCGTTTCCTCCGTCTTAGTGGCTTTGAACTGAGAACAAATTACAGGTAAACCAGTAGAATCTCATAACATACTTCTGAAATAACATCAAATAGCTATAAAACAAACTGAAGGAGCATGATAGTTACATACCAAAAGAAGAATGTTTGTTGCTTAGGATCAACGCCATTAGCAACAATCTGAACAGCAGTCCAGAAAGAAAATTAATTCACAGGGTAGAAAAAGCATGACTATAAGATTAGTCAAGCAAGTTCAAGTATCTGAAATGAATTAAATAATAGAGAACTGACTTCTCAAACATTTGCCTAACAAAGTTATAGAGACCGTTAGAATCTAACAAGGTATCATACAAATAAAAGACATGACCTTATGAAGGAAATTCACCATTAAACTCTATCGCTTTCTTTTTCATCAAGAACCCAGTAAAGCTTCCTAGAAGATCAATTGCAGACACGATTACAGAAATCAAAATACCTAAAATAAGAGATAAGCATCCATCTCCTACATTCATATCGAGAAAACTACTTTGCATTGTAGCAGATTTACACTCAGAGCAGATATTACAGACCATATAAGATTCACCTCCGAGTTAAAAGAAAAAGAGCTGACCTCAGATCTCCACATGTCACTTCTCACAGATACATTTACAGCTTGATATTCTTCATTTACCTACAAATGATATGAGGTTAAATTTGACAGCTCTGACAAAACACACAATTAAAATTTAATTTGAAGCTTGCTGAAGTTTACCAACCCAAAATTCAAAGTTGAACAAATCGTGAGATGAGCATAAGTGATATCTCAAACCCTAAAACCAAAAAGGCAAAGATACAAAAATATTAAACTATTTATTTAGTCAATCTAAACCAAATTTCTCGCCCAAACCATTTCAGGGTAGATACAGTATAGCTTAGTTTAGTTAAAGAAACAAAAGAAGATTATCCCTGTCTTTACCTTAAAGCTGGCACATTTTACCAAGCAGAGAGGACAGGTGAAGTCCTCAGTCACTGCAATTTAGAGAAAATAGCAACTAAATAGCTTGAATGTGTACGGAAGGAATTTGATCAATGCAAAGAAAACCGCTCATATAGAAGAAAGTAATGCAAATTTCATCAATTTCACCATTCTAAAATCCATAACTGCACGCAGACCAAGGGCTGAATAAATCTTGATATATGTAGGATGCTGACAATTCAAACAGATCGGTTTGACAAAGGAAAGACTAAAGTCTGACTAGTAAGTTGGAGACCTTTAGTTGCTTGCTCCTACAATTAATTTCAAAACGACATATGATGTCCACTATTTTGCTTTAGTATGCCCCGATTTCTAACGTTGTGACTAAGAGATTGTACTCAAAATTTGATGTTAGCCTGCATTTTACATGACCCAACAACATGAAGATTCATGTCAGTAAAGGAAGGGAGGGTACATCAAAGTAGTGAGACAACAAAATACGATGCAGTTTAGGCAAGAACATTCCATTTTGAAGAGAACAACAAAATGGAGCTGATCTTTTAACCGGAAAAGAAGCCTGCTTTAATCATTTGAAATCCATCAAAATAACAGAAACCCTTTATAAAACAAAACTAACCAACATAGAGTCTGAGCTGAGTTCAAAAGCACAAGAAAATAGAAACAAACCACCGAGAGCACACCAATGATATCAGTGGCAATATCACGATAAATGAAATGAAACCAGTTAAATATGAAGTCAAACAAGCCATAGCTTCACCATAAAATGAAGAATTATTACCTTCTGTTCTCTGCAAGTTGTTGTTATAGTACCTATAGTTGAAGACAACATTTCCTGTCCTCAACCTAAAAAGCGTGATAAATAAAAGGATTAGCTACATGTCTACCTCACAATGCACATGTAAATTTTTGAATCTCTTTAAATTAACAGAGAGCTAAGTCCCCACTTCCAAAATTCTCTATAAACAAAAGGAAAGAAAAGAAAAGAACTGTTTTTTTCTTTTATAGGTAAGGATATGTTGTTTCCTAAGGAGAAAATGAAATTTTGAAAGGGGACATGCAGCAGAAAAGACAAAAATGAGCAATCTTTCAAAACCACAGAGAGCATGGTTTAATATTTAGCATTTTTATGATATTGAGTTTCGTCACAGCATTCACATTGGGAAACAAGATGGATCCACAGGCTTTATCGGTTGAATATGTTGAATCAATTACAAATGAGTGAAGTTAGCAAAGATGGGTAAGAATGACAAGATCTATCAACCATGCACAAAACTTGATGGGAATATAAGAGGAAAAGTTAATCCTGCTCTAACAAGGTAGATATACACCAGTACAATTTTGGGGATCTATCAGTAACTTTTGCTAGAGCAGTATGGCCCTGAATGCTGAAATGAGCTAAAGAGCCAAATCTACCTAGTGGCACAGGCTTAAATAAGCAATAAACTGAATGCAAATAGGTGCAGGGGGGAAGAGTTAACACAATGCTGGACAATGTTGGAAATATCGGTGTCAACAACAGTAGTACTGATAATTTCTTGTACAGCTAGGTAAAAAGAGCATTGCATAAAGAGAAATACAATAAAGGCAATACACATGACAAAATAGAAACACAGTGCAGAAAAGAGACCAGAAATGGGTAACTTCACCGTATTATTCGAGGCAATGAAGTCGTAGGAATGTCATCATAGGAGAATGAATCATAAGCTGATTTATCTCCTGCACCAACTTCTTCTGCAGCAATTTTGACTTGCAGTTGCTGTATTGTTGCCTTTCATAATCCAATCATTATTCAAGAAAATCAATTATATAAGCAAAGAGATGAAAAATCTTTTACTACAATTTTCAAGGACATAAGCACTGAGTGCAAAAATGACCTACCAGAGCCACAGAACTGCGGGGATACTGAAAGGAAATATGTCTGTCTTTGTCCAAACAGCTTGTCTGCAGATGAAGACACAATAGCCATCAGAGAAGATGGTTCCTCTTCTTATTCTTTTTTTCTTCCTTTCAATCAGAAATACTTCAGCAATGCCCTTTCAGCATCATTTGCCCAGAAGAACTAGCCTCTGCATAATATCTTGCAATGCCCACTATGAATGGATTCAACATCATGAAACACTAAGTGAAAACAGTCTACCTAGAAGAAGCAACCTCTCTACCAGATATGTGAAGAACCAATGACTTGGTTATCAAGCCCTATACTTATGATTAAAATAATAGAGGATCAGAAATTGCCCGTTCTCACTTCCAGAATTACTAAATATAATATAAAGGAGCAACATGAGGAAGAGAAAAAATATCTGCCTTAACTAACAAAAGCCAACTCTAAATTTAGTAATGCCTCAGAGAAGGCACTAGACCTCAATTTACTGAGGTGATGTTCTAATGGTATTTGGTTGAAGAAAATTTCCAAAAACACAAGTTTTGTTAAAAAAAAATGCAAATTTTGAATGAGAGAAAAAATTAATTATCAACTTGATCACTCTTCCAGATTGTCAAAGAGATGTTGGTTCACGATTAATCCACTAAGCAATATTAAACTAGCACTACATACTTCTATTTAGAAACTTCTGTTAGTGTACCTTCATAAAACAAGGGCTCAAGTCAACAGTTGACAACATCTCAGCTCTCTCCCCTAAACTCAAATTGGGAGACTTTTCCCACAATAGATGAAGTAATTCCATCGGCATTCTTCCCAACAAACAGTGCCCTTCAAGATTCACTATCACAATTTTGAAAATAAGATTAGAACGAGAAAGAAGATGGACCATGAGAAACTTGAAGAAAAGATCAAAAACTTTGTTTTTAATGGAGGGAAAACATGCAAAAGACAATAAAAATTGCAGAAACCTTAATACAACAGAATTTGACATAGCAACAACCATTATGTGGTTTTTCTTTTCATGCGCTAATGGAGCTAAACAATGAGTGCATGTTTCAAGAGCTGAGAAAAGTCTGTGGAATTTGTTGAGATCCATTTGTTGACAACATTCCAGACATAACATCCAACCTTTGTATTATATATTATAAACATCAAACCACAAACATGAATTCATAGTCATGTTTAGGTTTATGGGTTTTTTTTAAGCTGGCATGTGCTGCCATAAGATTGAGTTATACAAAGTTTCCAGTGTTCCTTTTAAATTTGACTGGTTTCACACACTTGTTGCTGTTTGATTTGACTTTAGGAATAATATCATCAAATCATGTTTCAAGGTCCTAAATGTGCTAGAACCACCAGCATTGAATTAAAAGACGTCCATATCTTGTCAGGTCCACAGAGACAGAAAGAGAAGAAGAGAAAATTAAATAGACGGTGTTAGCGGATGTGAAGGAGAATCACTTTATAAGAGCATAAAGGGACAAGTAGAAGGATACTCTGAAATTCTCTTTCCTCAATCAGTTAAATATGAAGATTCAGAAGGAAATGCTTTCTAAGAAAGACAAGAATAGGAAAGAAATACTATAGACCTAGGTTAACATACTGCAAATACTATGTCATTTCATTATAGTCTTCTTTCTTTTACGTCAGGCTTGTGAAATAGGTCACAAGCTTGTGAAATAATCTTCATTAAATGTTTCTTTTACTGAAGAAACATGTTTCTAGATGTGGCACATTATAGATCGTTAGACTTTCAAATTGTGTATGTTTAACTTATTCTAAAGCATCAAAATGAATACCAAAAGAGATAACAAATTGAAAATTTGCTGAGTTTGACAAATGCTAGCAATCATAAAGCTTATTTGACATCGGTAACTGCACAAAATAAGGATCTTTCCAACTTCCACGCTACTTACATGGAAATGAAGATGTATCCAAATGATCTCTAGCAAGTTCAGCTGCAAAGGAAGAAACCATTTACAGTTGGCCCTCATAACGAATCTCAACAAATAAAGTTTCAGAAAACACTTTATACCTACCAAAACTGACAAACAGGAGGACAAGAGAGCCAGCCCTTATTTCAGCTGAAAGTTTATCCATTTCGGGGAGAAAGAATTTTGCTTGAGCTCGATTTATTCCATCAACTCTAGTGAAAGAAGTTGATATGCATGCCCGCCTAAATTGATAGACAGCAGAATGCTGTAACCAATGGCATTAGCGAGGTACCCAACAGCAAACAAGATTACAACTCACTGGATGTATTTGCACAAAATAAGAACTTACTGCCTCAGCACCTGCGGCATTTGATACTGGCCTTGCCAAAATGACACACAGAGGAAAAACACTCTGGACCTGTGATTCATCGTTCACAGTGGCTGGCACAGATATTGCCATTTGAATCCTAAAAAATTTAGCCACAGTAGTAAACCAAAGCTATCTAATTGCAAGTATATATACATTGATGAAATCAATATCACTAAAAGTCATCGCTTGGTTGGTTAACGCGATGAAGTGATGTGGAGCAAGAGGTTATCGTTTCATGGCGAAGCCATGTGTTTCAGTGAAGCATGGGCCACAAAAAATTACACATAAAGTGATCCCAACAAGAAGCGGCTGATTGTTTGAATTTCACCTTTAAGGACTTAGATTTTTTTGGATAAGTAAGGTATTTTATTAATAGAGGTATTTGAATTTCACCTTCAAGGAGTTGGCTTTATTTCGGGGATAAGTAAGGGTATATTTTATTTTTATAGTTAAAAGAAGTCAAGGTATTGTATATTGGTTGCTCAAACTAGTTATCTATATTATTATAAAAGCATGAATACAATGTCGGTTTACAAAAATAAACTTATAACATTAAGCATAATAACTCACAATAAAAGGACATAACTGGAATTCTAGATATTAGTCTTGTAATCCTATTAGTTTTAGGATATAATTCTACATGTTAGGAATCCTATTAGTATAATTACTTCCACGTTAAAAATTTCTATTGCTAATTTAATTTGAAAAAGTATTGTAATGTCCTATTACTAATTTAATTTGAAAATGTATTATATTGTCCAAATCTATTTAGAAAAAGGAGAGTCTATATTATTATAAAAGCACGAATACAATATTGATAGAGAAAAATAGTCTTAAATATTAAATAGAAGAACTCGTAATTAAATGATATAATAAAATAACCTTTTTTTGGGACTGCAAGACCTTTTATGTTATTTTTTTAATATTATTTAAAGTATGTAAATATTAAATTAATTTTCTAAGAATCCTCCACATTAGCGGTACACACCACTCCATAACATCCAATACCAAGAAAAAATAAAAGTGCTATTAAATGAAATGCATAAAGCATTGAAATTGAGAAAAAAATATATCTCTGTATTATATTTTTATATTATATTTGAACGTTTTCCTACTCAAATGATATATTTTTAATTGGTTTTTCATGTAATATCAACAACTAAGAAAATATTTAAGAATATAAATGTGTGAGAAAGACAAAGAAAAATGGTTGGCAAGAGTCAATATCACTAATGATTCTGCAAACATAAAGATCTAAAAGTGAAATGTCAGATCTATCCTTTTACTCTTTGATAATATTGGATGAAGAGACTAATTGTCAAATGAACAAAATAATTGCCCGGGGTTTCTGGAGATATATTGAATATCAACGAACCGTTTGGTGAAAAATTAATGATTTGGAAGGGGATTTCTATCAAGTACTACCAATAATTTCAAAATCGATGAAAGCAAAGACTGTAAAAACTAGCTTGCCAAAATTATACTTATAGCCTCAAATGAAAAAAATTCAACTGACAAGAAATATAAAATAAGATCAGATCGAGTATTTAGTGACTTCTTGCTTCGTGTCGGAAATGAAGGGGAGCATCTAATAAAAGATGATTTCGAAATAATAGTGCATTATAAGGGAAATATTTCTATCATTATATTAAAACGCAATTTGTGGAAATTGCATGATAGATATTAAAAAGCTATCTTAGCTAGCATAAATGAATATATTGATCAACTAAATAAAAGGTTAATTGCGAAATTTTATGGTAAAAATAAAATATTTTTCAGTTTTTGACTCAGCAGAAGATGATACCAACAATTACTACCAAAAAAAATACTTAAATACTTTAATACCAAATGGCCTTCTACCACACAGGTTTGTTGTCAAGTTTATTAATTCTTACATATGTGAGTGTCATCGTATATATAATATACTAAGTTAAAATTGATCTTCCATTGCATATATATTGGTTTTGGAAAAAAATATGCCCTTCATGCTACTGAAAAACTTAGATCCGCCGAATAGCTTATGTAATAGCACGTACATAGAAAAATTATGATACTGGTCAATGTACTTTTAAGTATATTTTTATCCCTGAATTCAACTTTCGTCTTCCGAAATTAAAGAATATCCTTCTAAATTTGTGTGAAAATAATTTTAGGTATGTTTATATTTTGCAATTATAATAAATAAAGCACAAGGACAAACATCTTAAATATTAGACTATATTTATTGCAATATGTTTTCTTGCACGAACAACTATATGTTACACTTTCAAGAGGAATCTTGTTGTCTAGTAAGCAACCAAAGCATTAGAAAGAAATTAACATATACAAAAAAAAAACATCATTTAGAAAAAAGTGTTCGGTAAGACATCATCACATCAAATACTTTTAAACTATAATACATAATTATCTAACCAACATGACTAAATTGATCATTTGTGTAAGTTCTAATGATATCCTTTTATTTTTGAATCATGTATTATGCTAATGTAATAATATTTTTTGGCTTTCAAGAGATGGACTAATATTAAGATCTGAATAACTATAGAATAAATTATTTTTTATGTTAAAACCAAATAATTAAATCTTTTAATTAATTATTTAGCAAAAGAATCCAATTCAATTATTTTTTAAATTCATCATATGGGTAAAATTCTTATTCAAGTTAAAATAAAAATCTTAGTGTATATAAATTTACTCCATAAAAAGAGCGTTAGAACACAAAGTAAAAAGGTTTATTAAGAATCAAATGCTATACAAGTGTCTGAGGAAGCACAATCAAAGTTAAATCCTAAACAAGAATAAGTTTTCAATACTATGTTATAAAGAGTCGACTCAGGTATAACGGAATTATTCTTTGTAGATGTCTCCGACGAAATCATAATATTTTTTTATGTCACGCATTACTTGCAAATATCATATCAAGAGGCAAAACATTGTTAGCAATAATAGCAAGTGGTGTACAAACAACGATTTTATTGTGAGACCACCCACTTTAGATTTGATATACCTCTTCAAATAATTTAAATAATCATCACAAATATATCAAAGCAGAGCAATGGTGCTAAATTTATAAGGAGAGCAAATATAATAATAATGCGGGATGAAGCACTTATGGCTAAGTGTCAAACAATCGAAATAATTGCCCGGAGTTCTAGAGATATACTGGATATTAATGAACCGTTTAGTGAAAAATTAATGGTTTGGGAGGTGATTTATGTCAAGTACTATCAGTAGTTCCAAAATCGACAAAAGCAGCGACAGTAAAAGCTAGCTTGCCAAAGCTATACTTCTGGCTTCAAAGAAAAAGATTCAACTAACAAGAAACTATAATGTAAGACAGATACAGTATTCAATATCTTCTTGCTTCGTGTCGAAAACGAAGAAGAGCATCCAATAAAAGAACCAACACAATAGGAGGAAACATACACAAAAAAATATTGTCCACAAATAAATGTTCGTTAAGATACCATCACATTAAATACTTTTAAACTTTAATATATAATTATCTAACTAACCTGACAAAAATGATCATTTGCGTAAGTTTTGATGATGTCCTTTTATTTTAAATTCATGTATTATACTAATGTAATAATATTTTTCGGCATTTAGGTGATTGTTGTATTATACATAAAATTTATCTCATTAATTAAATTTTATTGTTCCTTCAAATAAATAAATATTTAAATCATCACGTGTCATTATTAACGTGCAAAATTATAGTACAAAATTAATATACATTTTAATTGAAATCATATATACTAGTTTTAATTGAAATTCGCTTATTATAGTACAAAATTAATATACATTTTGCATTTTTTAATTTAATGAAAATTGTGTGTTTCACTTAAAAAAAGTGTGCACTTCCCTTCGCTTTTCGCCTCAAACCTTGTGGAACTCGTCGCTTTTTGCTTTAAAACAATGGATGATATTATAGGATGATATGATCAATAACACGTATAATATTTGATCACCAACTACAGACTGAACGAAATTGTGTTTCATCAGCTATTTCAAACAGTAGTCAGTAGACTTTGCCTTCGACTTAGACAAACTTGGCAACAGTAATTGGGTCTGTCTTCTAATATTACTTTGCACCTATATGGTGTAAGTACCCATGAACAAATGTTTGAAAGAAAAATGTTTACGAAAGAGTCAAAGTGTAGTGCTATGAAGTATGAACACTGAATCAGATTGTGAAGACCTATATTATCACTTGGGACTTGTTTGATTTAGACCACTGAATCATTTCCTGATCATCTCTATACAAATTCTTTAAATTTAATACAATAATAATGACTAAGCAGCAACTATAATTGTGAAATAATTCAAACAAACCCAAGAGAATAGAGTAAAGGAAGCATGTCTCCCCACATATTTAGAGCTTCACTTCCGAATCAGCATAGACTATATTATGGGACAATCAGAAGTACCTCAGAGTCTCTAGTATAGAGCATATGAGACATAACCTTGCATATGGGGAAATTTGGGAGTGAAAGCAATCACAATCAAAATATACCTCTTTTTGTGCTTTGCTTGAATTTTGTAATGTAAACATCTTTGAAGGAAGGAAGGCTGCATGATATTCTGCATTCTGTTAGAAACATCTTGCAGGAAATGCCAATGATGAATGTATAATTAACACATCAAAAAAGTGACGAGACCAATTACATTAAAACTCGTAACAGTTGGCAGCCAGAAAAATGGGAGGGAGTCAGGACCAAAAACATCCTCTCAAAATCGTGGTTGAGAGAAAGATAATAATCTTGAGTATGCTTTTATCAAAAATGCTTGAACTCACAAAAGATGCGTATATATAAGACATCAGCGCTGAGAATAAGGATAATAGTCTTGAGTTTTACCGGAAACACTTCAACTTAAACAAGATGTGCTTATTTAAAATGAATGTTTGATGCATGTAAGCAAAAACGATAAAATCAGCAATCTTTCCAAGATCATTAATATCAACAAGGAAACTAATGCCAAAATGTTAGCCTTGAGGAATAGGTAAAAAGTGGTCTTTAAGCATATTACATTTCTAACGGCACGACGTTGGAGAATGTTGTAGAGTTCAACAGGTTTGCAATAAGTTGAAAGGCTTTCTTCAGCAGCAATCTTCTCCTCTGCTGACAAATGTGTAGCAAAATCTTGCCTGCACATTGAGTCCGTAACTGTAGAATAACTGCAGTAGCAAGTGTAATGCCTGTTCCACAAATTATAATATAACAATCAATATCCTTGTTTCAGTAAGTGCATTGCAGTATTTTAAAATGTAATTATTGACAAACATAATTATAAGACCTCAAATGCAGGCACAGGGAATATCTTACGTGGTTTCACGAGCCACTAAAGGTATGCCTGGCATCCTTGTCACACAGTATTCAAATGTATATTCATAGTTCTTTCAACTTCACTAAATTCAGAAATTAAAAACATGTGAGAAAAGAATCATAAAGCACATGACATAATGGGCAACAAGGAAAGGAAAGATAAGGGTAATATTGTAACACCCCCTAGGGAGGTTGCCAATCATACAAAAGAACTAAGGTAAGCTACTAGCAATTATTATCTGAAACNCACATGACATAATGGGCAAAAGGAAAGGAAAGATAATGGTAATATCTGATTCAGATTTCTCCTTCAGATTGTACATGAGTCTTATTTTACTTCTCTCTTTTCTTCGAATGGGAGCGGGGGAGGGAAAGAGAGGATATCCAGAACAATTGTTCTCATTTCATTTGAAAAAACATAACCATGAAGTCTCACTATACCATTTTATGGAAACAAATAGCCACAATTCAAATGCAACCTAATAACCATATTAAGAAAACGATACAATGAAGAATATGAGATTACATGTTAGGAACCTTGAAGCAAAGAACCAAGAGGAACCTACTGGAACTTAACATTTGAATGGAGCTTAACATGGCAACTGGTGTGCAGTTACTTCATCAAGCGAAAGGGACTACACTTGTGGCTATAGCAAGATAAAACTTTGTTCTTTGGTTTTATAAAGAAAGGGGGAACCACAGCAATACACCATTGGAACTCATGTGCAAATGCTTTAAGCGAAATACAGGAGTCATCAAAAAGTAGTGTTCCCGAAGGAAGAATAAGTTGCTCATAATGGTCAACTGCAATGAATTAGCAAATAAATGTGATACTTCAACAGTATTAATTACTCAAAAAGATCAGGAATCATTCTCTCCCTAAGAATCAAGACCGATTCACAAGAGAGAGGGAGGGAGAGAGATTGATCCGCAACATTTTTGTCCTTATGTAGAATATGAATGAGTCTCCCATATAGTGACTTGTCAAAAAGAGGGTGTCTCTCATATAGTGATCCAAGACCAAAAGGGAGGAAAAGAAAATTATGGAGATCACAAAGATGTTCCCGCAATGTTGATTCATGGGTTAATGAAACTATCTTTTTTCGTCGAGGTCACAGTTCAAACAAATTTTAATTTTTTGCATCTGATAACCAGTCAACTCTTCTAACCTTCCAAATTTCTGTTTCCCTCTCCCTCCCACCCCAAATATTCTTCCTAAACTAATGCAAATATGCCCTTCACTCTCTCCCCTGCTTAGTCCCCACTACCGTTCTTGAAAGAAGTGTCTGCCAGCGATTCCCACCCCCACCTGACACCAGACCAAATTTCTCACAAGAGCAATTCCATTTCCTTGAAGCAGAGCAAACTACTTCTGCGCAAACTTAACCCAATGGAATTATCAATCTAGCGTAAATCAATCAATAGCTCATCACATAAATCAATTCCAGCACAAATAATTGCTGAATTCGTTGAAAAACTTGGATCAAACTGAACTATAACTTCGCCTAGCTCAGGTCAGCCTCCAAAACATGCTCTCTGTAACATCTAATACTTTTCTAGATTCCCTGCTTCTCAATTAGTTCCTGATTTAACGATGAGTTTCTGAATTCATATAACGAAGCTGGTTTTGACCCTTCACTCACATGAACTACATAGAGATACTTTATTCTTCATCACTAGAGACTATTTCTTCAAATTTTGCAAATCAATCGAAAGCTATAATCAATTTGCTGTTGAACAGTTGCTAAAGTGCTTAACAGGTTCGATAAAGAAACATTAATTATCAATAAAAAAGTTATCTTTTTTTCACATAAAACCTAGGACTGTCTTTAACTTTTTTCTTCTTTATATTGGTGGTGTTCGAGCCAGCTAGCGCGCACCTCCAATTCTTGCTTCCCCTACAAGCACACCCACCCAGTAACTTAGCTCACCAAAGCTTAGCATATGCAAAGAATTCACCAATCAATGATAGTTCCTAGGAAAATAATGATATATAAATATATATATTTGATTGCAATGTCTAGAACAATTAGATAAAGGAATTAGGGATTAGAGACAAAGAAGAGGGTCTCCTGGAAACAGCCTCTCTACCCTTCGGGGTAGGGGTAAGGTTTGCGTACATATTACCCTTCCCAGACCCCACTTATGGGATATAACTGGGTCGTTGTTGTTGTTGTTGTTGTTGACAAAGAAGAGAAAATGTGGAGAGGAGAGAATGAAACTTACTGTTCGATTTCGCTGGAGAAAACGAGTTGGCAGCTGGTGGTGGACGGTGGCTCTGTTCAATCGAATCGCCGAGAAGAAGGAACGGTGGCGTCGTTTGAAATTGGCGGACCAAAAATCGGTCGGATAATTTTAGATCCGTATTCTGTTTCGATTTGTGTGACCACTCAACTAGAGGCGTTTTTGGGCATGGATCAAACTTTTAACATGGAGCAAAGAACAATGTGCAAGTTGTGACTAATTTGACCACCCCGAAAATAAAGCGGCACATTTTCTAATTGTTGTATTATTTAATACTAGTAATCAAAAGTGTTAATTGACTACATTGTTCACTGTCTGTGCTTAAATTCTGAAAATCGATAGATTGGTAAGAATTTTTAATAAATTGTATAGATCAAATATTTGACAAAGAAAGAATTAATGTCTTAAATTTTTTAAAGCGATAATTATTTTTAATCAAATTTGTCGGCCAAAGCAACAATTAAATAAATAGATATATACATATTATCTTTATCAATTCTTTTCTAAAAGAATCTTATAATGATGATGTCCTATCAAATTAGATGAATCTCAATATCTTATAGGGTAGCTTGTTCTTCACAAGTACAAATTATCAAATTAGTCATGCCAAGTGCCAACTAATTGGACTGGGCATTGGGGCATAAAGGCTCACACCAGGGGTTGCAATTAGAACTGAACCTACCAAGAATTGCTATTAGAACTAGAACTTTAATATTTTCTAGTACATTATCTACTTCTATTAATGATCACATTTGTATCTACCTAATATTACGAAAATACACTATAAAATTGCCTTACAGTGCGACTCTAGAACGAGGGATAGGAGCTTTTTTTTTAATAGCACGTTTGGCCAAAATGCAGAGTTATAATTTTAAGTGTATGGGTTTAAATTTTAGAAAGGATCGAGACCTAGAATCAAAGATTAAAAGTTAAATTTTATATAAATTGTCAAATATGAAATATGAGGAAAACATGGGGAAAAAAAAGAAAAGAAGAACCGAAGAAAGAAGAAGAGTATACACACCGGAGAGTTCACGGCGTCCGGCAGACGGTGACAGTGAAGGCAGAACCCTAAGTTTTTTTTTATTTGGAAATTGTGAAGAAAAGGGCGCCTGTTTTAATTTAGAGTAGGATGTGTTTTTCTTCAAGTTGATTTGTGTTTATTTATTAGAAAGGAAAAAATTTATGTTTTCTTTATTAAAAAGGAAAAATTCTAATTCTAATTCTAATGATTCTAACTATTTAGAAGCGAGTGTTAGGGCCTCTCCGTCGCCCTACTTTGGGTATCTTCGGAATACGCCATCTTGTTTATTTCTGTTTATTTTTTTAAAATTGTGAAAATAAATAATTGGACTGTTTTACTTAGCTCGTCACTACTGCTCAGTTCCTTAGTTATTTCTGTTACTACTGAGTCGGTTGTACTCATACTACACCCTACACTTTATGTGCAGATCCAGGTGAGTTAGCGCGTGGTGATCGTTGAGTTCAGGCCGGCTATCTGTGGAGATTGCAAGGTAGATGCTAATTCCGCAGGACCTTGTTACTCCTTTTGTCATTTCTTCTTTTGGACAGTTAGACAGTTTATATATCTTAGTTTATAGTTTTAGACGCTCATAACTCAGTGACACCCCGATATTTGGGGCTCGTTTCCGTATTTTATATTAACTAGTAGTCGTACCCGCGCGATGCGCGATCAATATTAAAAAAATATTAATTAAATTAAATTATGATCGGGCTTGTTTGATTCTATTAGACGTATTGCTTTAAAAAGTTTCAATTGTCATCTTATTTGTCAATACGATATACGCAATAATAAAATCTCTATTACATTAAAGGTACTTATGTAGTCAGTGAATAACTTTTTTGTTACATATTTTTCTTTATTATATTATCCGTTGTTTAGTATTATTACATTTTTAATAGAAATTTTTATTAGTATATTATATTGTTTGCTATTTTTGTCTGCTCGCTTTCTTTTTGTAATATAAGAGAAGGTATGTAATTTTATTAATGTTTAAATATTTTTTATTTTAAATTTTATACTGTTGTTCTTAATAATATATTATCTAAATTTTAATGAATAAAATCTCTATTAAACTAAGGGGCTTATACAGACAGTGAATAACTTTTATATCATCCAATATTTAGTATTATTACATTGTTAATAGAAAATTTTATTAGCATATTACTTTATTTAATAGTTTTCTCTGCTACTTGTTTTTGTAATATAATAGAAGATATATAGTTTATTACTCTAGAAATAATTTTATTTTAAACTTTATTCTATTGTTTTCAATAATATTGTCTGAATTTTAATAAACAAATTCTCGATTAAATTAAAGGGACTTATGTAGTCATCGAATAAATTTTTTGTTATGTATTTATCTTTATTATATCACCCATGTTTGAGTAGCTAAATTTTTGGTAGTTAATTTCGTTGTGTCTTTTTTTATCATTTGTTTTGTAAATAATTTTTGAATCTCCAAATTTGTTGGAGCTTTGTCCTCAAATTTGTCACTTTGTTAATTTTTTGATGTTACATTTGGAATTATCAGAATGATTTGCTTCTCGTATTCTATATAAATAGAGTAGATATCGTCTGATTGGTGTAATTTTACTTTTTATTTCTCTCTCTTTTGGTGATTTATAGTCTTTCAGAAAGTTAGCATCTCTGCTTATGATGTGTCCTCATTAACCAACATGTAATTCTCAAAATTTCATGTAAGGACCTTTTACGGTTAAAAGAATGACAATTTCTTAAAGAGATTTGCAAATTTCTTCGGTTTCAATCATTATTCAAAAGTACTTGTAGTGGTGCCTGTTGCATTTGCAATTTGATTTGTTTCCATAGGCTGAAAGCAGATTGATTGTGTTTTTCTTTTTGTGCCTGCTCTGGGAGGTCGAGAGGTGCTTCATTATTATGTTTTATCATAGTCATCCGACACGTGGCTAACATCATTAAATAGTGTAACCAGCTGATCTCTAATTAGAAATTTCACTAAGATGGCCCATAAAGTAAACAATTTTTTCTTAATACATTCTCTTCACTTGCTATTGTATTCATTCTCAAATACAGAACTTCCTTCTTATTAACACTTGGATAACTCATGATATGGTAAGATATATGCTGTTTACTCTTTATTATGTCATGTTGGGTAACACTTCATTTAAATTATTTAGACATAGCAGTGATACTAAGGGCTCATTTGTTTCTTTTAAGATTAAGACGTCTGAATCTGAATACACATCTGAATATCAAGATGTGTATTAAGATTAAGACATCTGAATCTGAATATATTAAGATGTGTATTAAAATCTGAATACTAAATAATTAAGACTGTTTGATTTTTAACATCTAAATATCTTTATTTGAAAATTAATAAACATAAAATTCAAATAAAATACTAACTAATCTAATATTCTATCAATAAAATATATAGTTTTTTTTAAAATATGATAGTTATTAGTGGTGATGGCTAACAGGTGAATGCCGACTAGAGGCGGTGGTTGGTGGTAGTTTTGGTTGATGATGGTAGTTCATGCTAGTAGCTAGTAGTGATTGGTAGTGATGGCGATTATGATTGAGGATGGTGATGGTGGGTGGTGATAGTTAATAATGGCGGGTGGTGGTAGTAGTTGTGACTGAGGAAGGTGGTGGGTGGGTGGTGGCAGGTTATGATGATGGGCAGTGCCGGCTGTGGTTGTTGATGATGATAGGGTGGCCAAGTCTATCCTCGAAAATAGTATTTTCCCTAAAATTTGTCTCCACGCGACTCAAACCTAACAAAAAATGACTTAATATCATCAATGGCGCCTATGATTGAGGATGATGGTGGCATGGTGGTGCTGGTGGTGGTGGCATGGTGGTAGTTGATAATGGTAGGCGGTGGTGGCAGTTAATAATGAATATGTGATAGCATCTTAATGAAATTAAGTCTCCGTTATAGATCTTAATCATACAGACCTATTCAGACCCATTAAGTGGTTGTGAAGTAAAAAAAACAAACACACTTAATGAATAAGATCTAAATAATTAAGATTCAGACTTTAAAAACAAACGCACTTAATGTCTCAGATCTGATAATTAAGATTCAGACCTCCATTAAGTGCAAACATATGAGGCCTAAGTGTTTTGGAGACTTCAACCAGCAGTAAGATTTTTGTTTATACTCTCGAGTAACTGAGATAGGCCGTAACATCAATCAAATAGTAAGATTTCAAGTTGATAGTAGTGGTAGTGAATATAGTAAGGGATATAGATATCAAAAAGTGTGAAGAAATTTCTTAGAGGGAGGAGTGAGAGACATTTAAAAATAACAAGTTCTGAAGTTTAAAAGTGGAGATGAATACCCAATCCTTGTAAGAACGGACACCCATCTCTACCTTTGTGATTTGTACAAGATAATACTAAATGAAGAAAACTTCCTTTAGAAATTCCAGATCTTCTTTTGTGTTTCAAGCTTTTGGGATTTTTAGATCTTCATTTAACTTCTCCCAGCTTTTGTTCCAGCTGAGAGGGAGTGTGTATTTTCTGCTGAGAATAGTGTGGAGGTCTGTGAGAGTGAAGAAGGAGGAGGAGAGGCGGCTCGGTTTCGATCATAGTTTTAATCGATCGGAAATTTTTGGACGAAAAAAGTCATTTTTCTAGTAGCGTATATAGCACACCCTTGTATTGAAGTTAGCACGGCATTATCCTCAAAGGGATGGTCTTGGCAAAATATTTTCTAGTTTTTACGGTTTTAACAAAATATTTCCCTTTTTTACTTGAACATCATAGTTCTTCAACCTTTAAAGCTTGAAATTCTTGTTTGAGGGTAGAAAATAAAATTTAATAATCGATTATTGCTAAAACCATTTGAATATTGATAATTTGTGCTTAAACTTTTAGTTCAAATACAAATTTTGGTGATTTACTCTAAAAATATCAAAACACAGATAAATAGAGAAAATATAGCATCAACTCCACAGACCCGCAGGTAGAAAATTCCTGAAGAGCAAAAGTATGACAATCCGATAGACTTCAATGAACAACTTAACAGATAGGCAGAGTAATTGTTGGGTTTTCAAGCATTAATATGGCTTAAAAGAGGATGATTGGGAAATGGAGGGAGATGAAATTTTTAAGGGAAAATTTAAGTTTCCCCTCTTGACAAAGGGTCATTGTCCCATATTGGAAGAGGAAGAGGTTTTTGATGGGTATATAAGCAATTGCTTTTCTTTTAGCTCTTAAAGAGTTGAGAAGAAAGCAAGTCTCGGCCGTCGTCATCGCTCGCTCGGCTTCGGCTTCAAGATTCATATACTCAATTGATTAATTATTGAATATGACCTAAAATCAACACCCACAAGATGGCTAACTCGAACATATAGACGACTGAGCTAAGAATCACCGAGAGAAGACTAGCATCACTGATTCACAACTAACAAACAACTAACTAATACCGCTAACTCAAACAAACGAGTAACCAAATTAACAAGTGATTATGCCGAAAAGCTAAAACTTTAGTTAATTATCACGACGAGCTAAACATGAACTAATAGAAACTATACTTGAAGTTTACAAACTTGAATCTATAACTAATTTCAAACCACTAGCAGAAGAAAGACATAAAATTGATGAACAATCTCAAAATCAATCAACAAAGAAAGACATAAAATTGATGAACAATGGATAGGATTTTACCTAAACGCTCGGGCTTCAAACCAGTAGTACAACACGACTAGATGGCGAATCGATCTCCACGCCTATCTATCCCTTAATTTTCCTGTCTTCCTTCAATTTAACCTAAAACGGTAAGTAGCATAATGAAGATTGAAACTTTAACAAAACTCCAGTACTAAAACTGCATACTCAACAGTTTCATAAAACGAACAGTTTGTTTGCTGGTGGAGAGACAGAAGCCTACAAAGTACTACTCTCATATTTTTATTAATTGGAAAACTATATCAAAATTTAAGGTTTTTTTGGTTAAAAAAATTAATGTTAAATAATGCTTGGCTCTGCTACAGAAACAAATACACTCGGAACTACAGGGACTTAGTTGTGGTGCAACAGAAACCAACAAAGATGAACAAAGGTGTAAAGATTTAATTCAGAAAACTATATAACAGTCCATTACTCATGACGTTAATTAGGGCAAGACATTTGGATACGGTGGTCAGTTGATTAGGGCAGCCCAAATTTAGTAGACCATAAACACAAGAATCTGGAGAAAAATAAACCTATATGGTGTTGTTTCATTCCTAGACATATATGATATTCCTGAACATATTTAGGTACAATTGCATACTCGTTTGCACCCATCTAAACTCTAAAAATGGTACATAGAGAAAGCAATTCAAGCAAAAATTTCCAATCTAATTCGGTCAAATAGAGAAGGCACTACAAGCAAAATTTCTTCAGTCTGATTCGGTTTACAAGTGCATAATTCTTTTAAGTTTAGGGAGCAAATTTATACAGAAAAGTGTAGTTTTACAGTTGTGTACCTCTCAATAAGGCAAACAAGGAAGATGAACCGAATAAGGCAAACACTGCAATGGTCGAAGCATCAGCGGCGACAGATTCGAACTCGGCAAAACAGCTAGGAACTCGACTTCTACTGCTTGTGCAAACCAGAAAAAAAAAGTAGAGTTTTGAAATCGATTCTTACTTCCTTTAGAAATTCCAGTTCTTCTTTTGTGTTTCAAGCTTTTGGGATCTTTATATCTTCATTTAACTTATCCCATATTTTGTTCCAGCTGAGAGGGAGTGTGTATTTTCTGCTGAGAATAGTGTGTATGTCTGTGAGGGCGAAGAAGGAGGAGGAGAGGCGGCTCGGTTTCCAGCGGAGAGGGGGGAGGCGTTGCGGCTAGGTTTCCAGAGTGGAGAAGATGGAAGAGTCCCAAAACGTAGTTTTAATGTTAAACTACGTCGTTTGGGTGGTTGTTGAACCGGGTCAGGGATTGGGCTTTAGCATAATTATTTATCTATTTTACCTAAGAATTGACTAATAACTTAATTAATAATTAACTAACCTAAGAATGCATATTTGGTTTTTATATATTTAAATAATGCATGTCATATAGCATATGTAATTAACATATGTTATATTCATATATTGTTGTTGCTAAAACTTAAACAATATTAATATAGCACTACATTTTATATTAAGTGTGTATATAGTATATAAGCTATATTCGATATAACATTAACTATATATATATATACACACACTTGACCACCAACCCAACGGTCTCATGTATTTATCTTTTTATTATTCTATACTTTTACTGTTATTTAGCCTAAATGATAGGCTAAAAATCTGTGTATTAAACTTAGCCATCATATGTTATTTACAAGCATGCTCCGTTATTAAATAATACAGTATCACCCCAATGAGGCTATAGGTTGGAACAATATAGCACAGGCAGTTACTAATTCTAACGGTAAACCCTGGTTAGGGCAACTTAACCGGTAGTTCTCGGTGGATTCATTTTAGCCAAGATGGGCGTTGAAGAGTTGTGAGAAGGACCGTGGTTTAGGGTATACTGTTAAAATTATGACTGGCCAGGAGCCCAGGACTGGTGTTCTTATAATTTATTTCCTGAAGCCCCATTGGTAGCGATCATGCATATCTTACCGGTAAAATTAAAATGGTAAAATGGTATCAGAGCCATGTGAAACAAATAGTACTAGATGATAAGTTTAACACTATTTTCTTAATGAATATCATTAGGAGAAAGTCTACTGTTAAAAACAGTAGAAAAGAAGAATATGAATTGCCCCAACAATTAGATCTTCTAAATAAATGGATTATACCATTAATCAAACCTAAGGTAATATACCAGTTAGGAACCTTCGAAAAGATAGGATTTAAACACGTAGTTAAAACTACTGAAGAAACCATCACTATAGACAGTGACCATGCCACTTTCAGATTATTATCAGAAAGTGATTTAGCCCCTTATAGGGAATCACGTATATTTATACATATAGGTTTAATACAAGTTGCTTTTAAGCCACTTACTTTAAGAGGCTTACCTAAAAGCTTCATAGCAGCTCTCAGGGATGGCAGAAACCAGAATAGGAAAAAGTCTCTCATAGGGATTGTGCAAACCAGTTTGGCTTATGGTCCAGTTTATTTTAATGCTCATCCAAATTTGCAGATTCCTCTGATTGATGAAAACTCTTTAAATGCTTTAATACTAAGTATCAAATTACATGGTTATGATTATTTACCTGGTGCAGAAGTAATATGCATTTGTTATAGGATTTATTATAAACCTTTATATACTTTGAATCCTATGTGCAAAATTATAGATTTCAGAAATGAGACTATTCTTATAGAAACTAATTTTGGTAGATCTAAAGTCACTACCAGAAGACCTATAAAATGGGATGAAATAGATTTTCCCAAAGAACGGATCATAGAGGAAGCAGTGGCTCCTCAAAACACTGGTAATACTGAGGTAACAGAAATAGAACAAACCTCAAATGGGACTATTAAAATCAGGTTCAACGAACCCGTTCAAACTGATAATATCAGTTTAGCATCTAGATTAACTAGATTACACTCTTCTTATATTTCTCCAATTGATTATGTGGTAAATTTTCCATCTAGAGCATCCACATCACAAATTAGAGAAAATAACAGAATTGATAATATAAGAATTAGTCAAAGATAACATTGTCAAGTTTAATTCAGGCCCTGACCCAATTGCATCTGAAATGGATTTCTCAAATGGTGTAGATGATGGTTGAAAACCAAATAGATTTTAGTCCGAGTTCACCGGCAAGAAAAATGATTCTTGAAGAACTTTTAAAACCTAGATGGGATATTTTCAGAAAATGATTTTTTGAAAATTTTAATGAAGAATTAATACAATTCTTTAGACAAGCGTTTTATAATGACATAAGCAAGAAAAATAAGATTATTGCTTTTGTTCCTTGGTTTATGTCTAAACATGTCTATAATTACATTTCTACATTAGAAAGAGATATGCTCACTAGTGACAAAATAACCAAATTAGTTTTTCCACTACAACAATCTTTTCAAATAGGAGAAAAGGATAAAATAGTATATTTTACTGCTTTTTCAAAATTATTTGAAAATGATATAGCTACTATTACAACTAAATTTGAATACTATGCTCATACAAAATAATTATACTAATATGTATATTAGTATTCTGGGTGAACAGATTATTACAATACAAGAAAAAATGGACAAGCTTATAGCTGAAAGTCCAAAAAATTCAACAAAAAAGAAACTAAAGGTAAAGAGCAGATTGCTACTACAAGTATCCAACCTCCTCCTGAGGTAAAAGACTTTAAATTAAAAAGTCTTGATGACATTGAAGAACTTCTCAATAAGAAGTTTGGTGAATTTAAAGTTAATCCTTTAAGTTTAGAGCATATGTCTGATAAAAGTCTAAGAGTGGATGACGAGATTAATAAAATCTCTGAGAAATATGCTCGCAAACCATACCAAAAGATGTTCTATTATCCAAGACCAACCCCACAAGATGTTCTAATAGAAGAACAAGACAATGACCACTACCACCAAGGTTATAGTGGGTTAGACATATATGAATGGAATATAGATGGTCTTGCTGATAGGCAAATTTATATGGCAGTACATAGAATGCTTGTGTACAGTACTATCTGTAAAGTTAATAAGAATACAGATAGGGCTATTGCTAAAATGATCATAGCCGGATTTACTAGTCAATTAAAGGGCTGGTGGGATAATTATCTCACCCACGACCAGCGTTTTCAAATTATGAACGCGACAAAGATAGAAGATGATAAGGTTGTTCAAAATTCTGTCTATTCTTTAGTTATGAATATTATAGAATATTTTTCTAGAAGATGGTCTGACAATAGTAGGACTATTAGGACTATGCCCCAAAATCTAAGGTGTAAAACCCTAACATCTTTTAGATGGTATAAAGATGTTTTCTTATCTAAAGTAATGGAATTACCTGTCACGATCCTAACCCCGAACCCGATCGTGATGGCGCCTCTCGTGAAGGCAAGGCCAGCCAATCAAACCCAATTCGCTTTTTAAAACAGTTAAACAATATAAAAGTAGTCTAAGCATGATTTAATGATAATAAATAGCGAAAATACAACCCGACACAACCGTAACGAGGGTGTCACAAGTCACGAGCATCTACTACGGTATAAATATAACTGAAGACCTGAAGTGTACAAATACGGACTAATGAAATGAAGAGAGAGATGAGCAATGTTGCGAACGCCTGCAGCTACCTTACTAAACTCCGATGACCCTGCCTCCGATCAGCCAAAACCCGCTACTGGGTGCATAAATACCTAAATCTGCACGCGAGGTGCAGAGAGTAAAGTGAGTACTCCAACTCAATGAGTAATAATCATAACTAAAGTATGAATGGTAAGAAATCACGTAAAGCATATCAAGGTGCCGTATAGAAGCAGTTCAAAAACCAGTAAGAATGCATTGAAGCTGTAAAAAAATCTCTTAAAACATCTTAGCTCAGTTTAAACTTCTTTGAAAATGACATTTTCAACAGTTACGCAAATGAATGCAAAACATTTAGTGCAAATAAGCACAAAAATCCGCCCCTCGGGCACAAATCCCATAGTTTAACAGGTAAATGACAAGTAAATATGAAAGATAAACACATAAAGGTTCGCTCATCGGGCACAATGTCAACAACTCTGCCCCTCGGGCAATATCTCAGAACAATAACAGCCCCTCGAGCAATCACATAGAACGGTACCAGCCCCCCGGTCAAATCACATAGAATAATACTAGCCCCTCGGGCTATCACATAGAACAATATCAGCCCCTCGGGCTCAATCTCACATCACAATGCGTACCCGCGCTCACTAGGGGTGTACAGACTCCGGGAGGGGCCTCTTACGGTCCAAGCGCAATATCAAGCCACCTTGTGGCATCATAAACAGGCCCTCGACCTCATATCAATATCAACAAGCCATCTTGTGGCATCATAAACTGGCTCTCGGCCTCATATCAATATCAATAAGCCACCTCGTGGCGTACATATCTCAGGCTCTCGACCTCATAATCAAATCAGTATCTCACCGCTGCGGCGTGCAGCTTGATCCAGAAGTATCCTCACCATACAAGCCCTCGGCCTTACTCAGTCAAAGTCACATAAGCCACTCGGGCAATAGTAAAACATGATGCTCAGCCCAAAATATTATTTGAAATATAATTTCAAGTGTTAAAGCAAAATAAACTTGGCTGAGTTTTGAAAATAGTGGAAAAATACATGACTGAGTTCAAGTATAAAGTCAAAACAGTGAGAAAATATCAACAAAAATCCCCGAAGGGTTCAAATAGTTGGCACTAGGCCCAAATATGGCATTCAACCCAATTAATGATGATAGCAAATAGTTTTTTTCAGTCAAATACGCGGTAAAATCATCAATCGGGGTGGAACAAGTCACAATCTACAATAGTACACGACCCCGCGTTCATCATCAAGCGTGTGTCTCACCTTAATATAGCACTATGATGTGCAAATCCGGGGTTTTAAACCCTCAGAGCATCATTTACAATCATTACTTATCTCGAACCGGCTAAATCTCTAGCTCGCGACATCTTTGACCCTCAAATCGGCCTCCACGTACGTTGAATCTATCCAAAATCAGAACGAGAACATCAAAATATGCCAAGGGAACAAAGCCCAAGCGAAAACAATCGAAAAATATCAAAAATCCCGAAATTAGCAAAACCCGAGCCCCGGACCCACTTCTCGAAACTCAGAAATTTTCACATCATTAGATTCCTTATCTCCCCACGAGTCTATGCATATCAAGAATACCAAAATCGGAGTTCAAATGACCCCTCAAATCCTCAATCTAAGGCCTCTTAAACTCAAGCC